ATCTTGAGATACTGCTGGATCAATTTGATTATATAAAAAGTATTTTTTTAATAGTTTCGCTGCAGCAAGAGCTTGTTTGATGCTTGGTGGAGGGACAGGATCGTCTTCTCCAACAACGTACACAGCTGCAATTCTTATCTATTTCGGCAACTTAGAAAGTACTGCTTAATGATTTATAATGCCGCATTGTTGTCGTTAAATAGAGTGAGCGTGACGCTATATAGGGTGTAATATTGTATAGAAAACAGTGTAAACCAACCAAAGTCAAGCAATTTCGACGTTTTAAGGAGTTTGTCGTTAAATCGAGTGACGTTATAAAGAGTTTACACTGTATATGCAAGCAGGCTTTTCGCAAAATTACTGTTTTAAATGTAAAAGTTTATCGACAACGTTTATAATTGACAAAGGTTTTTAAGTACATTTGAAACAATTTTTCAAAAAATAAGTACAAGTAAGTCTTGTTTACTAAAAACTTTTAATAAATGAAAAACCTTAATAATAACCCCTAACCGAACAATATTTTTGAATTACGAAATCTCAACAATTTTTGAAATCATACACATTTTGCTGTAGTTTCTTTACCTGTCAAATAATACGAGGGTGGATTGATAAGTTTCCGGCCTGACCAAGAAAAACAAGGTTTTTAAAAAATTTTTTTTTTATTTCTCAACATAATCTCCTCCAAGGCTGATACATTTCTCATAGCGGTGTTCCAGTCTATTAATGCCATCTCTATAGACTGATTCGTCAAGCTCCTCAAAATAACCATTTACAGCTTCGATTACTTCTTCATTGTCCGCAAATCTCTTACCGCCAAGCCATTTTTTGAGATTAGGGAACAGAAAATAGTCACTCGGGGCTAGGTCTGGAGAGTAAGGAGGGTGCGGCATCAATTCAAACTTTAGATCGTTGATTTTAGCCGTCGCAACGATTGACGTGTGCGCTGGTGCGTTATCGTGATGAAACAAGATTTTTTTCTTCGCCAGATGAGGTCGTTTAATTTTCACCTCGTGGCTCAAACGTTGCAATAAGTCTGCGTAGTATTGACCAGTGATAGTATTACCCTTTGCAAGGTAATCAATGTATATAATACCTCTTGCATCCCAAAAAACAGTAGCCATAACCTTGTTCGCCGAAAAAATTGTTTTTGCCTTCTTTGGAGTTGGTTCCCCTGGTCCAATCCACTGTTTAGACTGTTCTTTGGTTTCAGGAGTGTAGTGGTGGACCCACGTTTCGTCAACGGTTACGAATCGACGCAAAAATTCGCTTGGATTACGCTTATACAATGACAAATTTGCGGTAGAAATGTTTTTTCGAATCAATTTTTGGTCGACTGTTAGCAAACGCGGCACCCATCTTGCACAGAGCTTTTCCATATGCAAATGTTGGTGCAAAATATGTTGCACACGTTCATATGACATCTTACAGGTCTCAGCTATCTCACGCACTTTCAATCTGCGGTCTCCCAGCACTATTTGATGAATTTTTTCGATCATATCTGGAGTTGTGACCTCAACGGGGCGTCCTGAGCGAGGCCCATCAGAGGTGCTCACACGACCCTTTTTAAACTCGGAAACCCACTGCTTAACGGTTGAATATGACGGGGAGGATGTCCCCAGTGTTGAGTCCATCTCTTTTTTAATTTCCTTCGGCGTTAACCCCTTCAAATAAAAGTATTTGATGACAGCACGATTTTCCTGCTTTTCCATTTTTACGAAAACCACAGAGGCGTCTTGTTCAGCGTGCTGTCAAACCTACACTAGCAAGGAGATCGGGCTGAAACTATAGCTACAAGCTATCCAAGGATGGTACTATAGAATGTCACCTCAAGGTAGGCCTAGTGGCGTCATCTCTTGGTTAGGCCGGAAACTTATCAATCCACCCTCGTATACTTTCTTACCATTTGTGGTTTACTTGAGGATCCGGATAATCCAAAAGCGACATATTGGTCCTCTCTCATTTTTGCTGAAAGTGTAATTTCGACCAAATCGTCCTTCATCACCCATCGAACTTGAAGACGTCCATTCAAAAGCTCTCGACAATTTGTGGGGGTTGAAGGTTTGCTGGTTGTACTCGTCTTCACGAAGGGGGAAAACAAACATAAATAAACGAGACCTCGCAATCCTTACAAGTCTTTATTGTGCAAATTAGAAAGCGATTACAACAGTGAAACAAACTCACACTCACACATAAAAAAATATCGCTATGATAGTAATAGAAATATATATATATATGTCAAGGTAATTTATTAAAAGCGATTAAGGGCGAGCTATTTTATTATTATTTTTTTTATGCTTGGGGTAAATGAATGCGGTGCTTCAATAGTCATCATAAGCATTACTTGTACTTACGGGATTGTACCACCAAGGCGGCTGTTGGAAAATAAGTCTAATTAGAAAGTTATTAACCACTTGTCGCAAAATTGTTACAAATTCTTATTTAGGTTAATGGTACAAAATCGGTACATATAAATATATTTATTTAAAACTGCAGGCTAACACCTACTTGCCTACTGGATCAGTAGTTCAATTAGCGCTTATTTAAATAGGGAATTAATTATAATGGAGGAGTCGCATCCAAGATCACAAAGAAGCAAATAATGCAGGGTGGTGAAACGGCTTGCCACAAAAGGAAGCAGATGTACATATCGGGTAAAATACTGCTGTAGAACAATTTTTAATAAAAGAATCACTCCTTATCTAATCAAAATTATAGTAACCAGCTTTTTCCCTGATTTAGGCTTTAGATAGTGAGGTTATTTTAATTAAGGTGGTACACACATTAATATTATTCACCATTTTTCTATGAAAAAGAAGAGCAATCGTTTAAATGTTCTTGCTGAAGCTGTAGTTGTGTAATGAGTAATGGAGTAATATTATTCGACAGTAGATATTTCCATTACTCTTAAAAAGGGGTAATAGGCTTGGTGTGAATTCATTCCATTACATAATGTAGGTAAATTATTTGCATTAACCATTACTTTTGTAACGATTTCATTTATATTAATCATTTCAAAAATAATAGATAATATAATTGACATATTACACAGTTGACATTAATTTGAGAAAAACAAATTACTATATAAGGTCAGAATATTAATCGAAAGTCAATATCGACTTTTAGCTTTCGTGGGTGTATTTTTGATGATACATTTTTAATTCATCGTTCGTTATTATCAAAATTGTAAGTTCAACTTTCTTACGAACAGAAGCGTTCACCAAACCCACACAGTTTTTTTGTTTCGAGGAAAAACGAAAATTGAAAGTAGGAGATTTTAAATTGAAAATTAAATAAATTACACATTTTTTTATACTCTGTAATATAAATTTTCTTGATTCTTATTTCTAAATGTTTGATTACACCTCTCAGTACACCAACTTTCTTACTCCATAAGTACCTACACCATGACGTTGAGGTGTACTATACACTTAGAAGTCCTTACAGAAGGCTCATTTCAAAAAGATGAGTTTTTACAACTTAGTCCCCTTTGAGACTTTTGATCTACACATCGAAATGTAGCGAGGTCGTTTGTTTTAAAAAAATGAAACACTAATGTAGATTTCAACAGATTTATTAATTAAACTTAACTATCGTTTCGCTAAACTTTAGCTTCATGAGAAGTTTAGGTTGAGCTTGAATTAAAGTCAACTTTTAATGAAGATAAAACGATCTCCAAGTTTAATCAGTAAATTTACTGAAATCTGAATTAGTGTTTCATTTATTTTTTATAATAAATTTCAACCAAGTGTAAGTACTCTATTCTGTATGTTTGTTTTGAAATTGCATTTAATTACAAAAGAAATCAAATTTCCTAATAATATCAACAGAAACTTTTCTTAAATCAGCAATTATTTTCATGAGCATAGGAATCAATAAACACAATAATCTTCTACTGTATGCATATCAAAATATGTTGAAAATATTTTTTTTACATTTCTCTAATATATGTAGGTACCTAGTATCAAAATGTATTTTATGACGTTCATGCTTAAGTCATTCTCTACGAAATACACTAGTTAACAAGCAAATCCATTTATTAAATACAAATAACGGCGTTATCATATACTTACCGAAATCTTCGTTTGCCCAAGAGCTGGGGGAACATCAAGATCTTTGGGTATCATAACATGTCCGAAATTATGCCGATACTGTACACACCAAACAGCGAGCCAGTCTATATCGTAAACGGTTAAACTTCCGGGCAATTGAATTTCGATATCTTCTCCTTGATATCCCCGAAGAGGATCTAACGATCCCATCTCATTTGGCACTTTGATACCGAAAGGAGAAGGTTCTGTTCCGTTGCCCACCCAGAAATACGCGTCAGGCCCGGCACCATCGTAATGCAAATTCGGGATGTAGAATGTTTTAGCATCTAGGATACTTATGTTGTCCGAACGCAAACCGTGAGCCAATCTTTTAAACTCTGGGAGCACGCGGGGTTTCGGAACCTCTAAATTTGGTGGGATGAACACTTCACCGAAATCCACCTGGAGCAAACAATAAACCTTTTTCTAGAATCCATTAACAGAATTGATACGTTATCATTTAGCCCTTTAAATTATTATACAAAAGGATGAATGTTGTTTAGAAGACACATCACCCTTTTAATCATGTTAATAGAAAAACTTTACAAATATGATTGTTACATACATTGTTAGGAATATTTATCTCGACAGATATTTTTCTTTTTTTGGAAATATTACCATTTCGTGTAATACTGAAAACCACAAATCTATCAGTATTTAGAACACTAAGTAGTTATTTATTTGTTTTGCTAACATTTTGGTTTTACATGGCGACCTTTTTTCAAGGTCGAAAGGCATACTCTAAATTTTTTGATTTAATTATTTATTAGTTTATTTATAATTGTGCTGTTTATTTTAATATTAAATGCCAGTTACATTTTCTTACAAAACTAAAAAACCTAATAAGTGTACATTCAATTTAATTGTCCTACATTACTATAATATAACATTGTAGTCTTGAAAAAGTCTTCCAAATAGAGGCGAAACGTCGGTGTTGGTTCTTCGAAAATAAAAACCTTCCAACCCTTAATTGCCTTGAACTTTATTTAATATTATCCAAACTAAGGGATGAAATGGAGAATAGATCTAAATTTTTTGGCCAGGCCGAGATTGGACAGCCATTTTGGCAACTGTGTATCAAAAATTCGCGTCGCGACGCGCTAAATTGCGCAGCTCATCGATCGAAGTTACGTTACAAACGACGGCACCACCCCCGAACCACCCATCAAAACCGCCGACGACGACAACGTCGTCGGCTAAGTTGCGCCGCAGCCAAAACAGCCACCTCCATGATGCGCGCGTTACGTGGACACTCACGCAAAAGATGCACCCACAAAATATGAAGCACGTCCAAGTTCAAAAGAAACAAAGTTAGGTCTAGTGGAAGAAAACGACAAACGTTTCTAATAATCTGTTTTTTCTTTATCCCAAAACACACGGAAAACGTTTCGTACTGAGACGAATCTTCAAACTGGAGAATCACAACTTTTGATTGAATCAATTAGATTTTGTATATGTAAATATAAATGATATAAATCTAAACATGAGATCTATCGTCCTTATTTTTTTAATATTATCTAAGAAATGCAAACAAATTCATCAATTTTTGGGCTTCTACAGTTGTTTTAAAGTGGTACCAAGAATACATACAAGAATAATGCCTCTTACTTTGTTACTTTTTCTAAAACACGTTTCTCATTTAGCCAAAAATCCATATACCAATTTTCGTGGGTCTATAACTTCAAAAACGGAGAAATTTCCAGTCCAAAATTAAACTCAGACTCAAAAGACAATTTCCTTATGAAATATTTGGAGTAGTTTTACTTCCTTTAACAACACATTAACCGAATGACAGAAGATAGATTAGTAAAAATCGCAAGACATAAATATCTAAGTAGTATAAGCAGGAGAGGCCAGGGAAAAGATGGAGTGACAATTTAGATCCAGGATGAGGTCAAATCGAAGAAGGAACAGGTCATAGATCTATTATAGAAGGAAGAAGAAGACTTTTACCCCCTGAAGGATTCGACCAAATTTCAGTTTCTAGCTTAAGTTTTTTCGGCTACATAATTAGTCAATCAATTGGGGCTTGTCCTTACATATCCACTTAGATGTATTTCCTTCCAAAAAATTGAAAATGCTGTTACGCTTTGAAAACGTAGAAAGTAAGTACTCAATAATATTCAGACCTTAGGGTTTATTGTGTCAAAATATACAAAGTTTCACCTTCAGAAAAGGTATTTTGTGAATTAGCAAAATAGAGATATGTACATATGTTCTGAGTTGTCTAGGTCCAGTATCGAAGATGGAAGGACCTCTGGAGAAGCTTGCTAGCGAAACTTTATTAAGCAAGCTTCTTCAGAGGTCCTTCCAACTCCAGTCAACGACGACCTTTAAACCCCCGAATCAAGACAGCATCAATTATGAGTCTGACTGTTGTTAATGCAAAGATGTGTTCTTGATCGTGTGTTTTTAGTAAGACCAACATTAACACAACAACGTCAAGACAGATTTTGCCCAGCAAAACCCATCAAAACCTCTTCCACTTCATCAACATGTATTTTATGCAGTAAAATAATGCTGGTTCTAAAAGGTGGTATATTTCGAAAAGCATTTTGTACCAACATTTCGAATTTACATATACGTGATGTTCAACAAAAGCATGTAATGATTAGAGAAACCGTTAAAGTGAATGGGTAATCCACAATGTACGTGTGGCTTCCCTTTCAGTAATTTAGGGCTTTTGGAATTAACCGCAAGGGTAAGCCGATAACCAAAACAAGAAAAGAGTTAACTGAAATAAAGTAGTATTGATTTATTTTATTCGGGTTCTGTTTTCAACACGCAAAACAATGACAGTAACAGTATCTGATAGTATTATCAACTTAAATACTATTGTACAGAAATAATAACCGTCAGGAACAACAACTTCTTTTGAGTAAATTAGAACTGTCCAGTATTACGATACATTTATTGGATTTGTTAATAAAGAAGTATGATGTAAGTAACAATTATAACGAATTAGAAACAATTTATTGAACAAAATATTGAAGCATGATCAAAATATTTGCCTATCTGTCTGTCTGTTTGCACCGTTCGAAAGAGTTGGATCAATTTAGGTGAAGCTTTTGTTCCTAGGATAACGATGTCCCTTGTATAGTATGCAATAAAATCGTAACTGAAGTTTTATTTGTTGTAAATATAAAAATGTAATTTACTTATGTTTGTTTTTCGAACCTAGCAAATGAAAAAATTTCTGAAAATTTCTATGCTTATGAACGTGATTGTGTCAGTAAACATCTGGAAGTCTGACACAGGATAGTTTTCATTGAAAATCCTCAACAATTAAAAGCCACGATAGTAGAAAGTAATTTGCTTCCAATTAATTCCAATTAATTCCAACGGAATACCATGTAAGTATCTCAAGTACCTATCGCGAAAATAGATTTAATAAAGTGACTGGTGCGGAAAACGCTTCTTTAAATTTATAGTCATGCATCAAGTTCAATGTTGTAGTAATAAATGCATAGCAGTTGACGAACGAACGTTATAAACGCTAATAATTATTCGCCGTCTGCTTTAACACAAAAGCTCGGTGACAAACGTTCAAAATCACGCCACGCCGCAGAAGAACAGAGCAAATGAGGCCGTCGGCCAAAGACAAAAGCTTTCGACGTTCCACAGCGTAATGTAGTGGCGCGCTACGTCCGTCGCTTCACGGCTGTTGCTGATGGCGCAAAGGGCCTCTTTCATCCGGAAATGGAAGGGCACGTTACTACGGCTACTATATAATATGCGTTCCGGACTGCTACCTACCCCCTGATAAAGAAAAAAATCAGGGGACATGTCCCAACGTGATACGACACGTTTGACTTGCTCTTTTTAGTGGGACTTACAAAAAAAGTTCTGAATTTTATCGAAATATCTAAAAAAACCACACATCCTACATTTAGATTTTCTTCGAGGTGTTTCTTTTGTTATCTAATCTATCATTCTGTTTCCATTAATGAAGTTTCACGTTAGGAGTTTTACTTCTTTTGGTGAGTTGAGAGTAAAATTTGAGTAGGCAACGGAAGTTGCGCGCGTATAGCTAAAGAAAATTTGACGGTATGAAGTTAGCAACATGGCTACGAATTAGTTAACACGTAACCAGTTCAAGCACAAGATCAGAACTGGTAACTCTGCCGTTGTTCGCTGATTAGCGGAAACTGTCACTCCGGTGAATAGATAGAATTATTATTAGGTTTGTTTGTATGTAAATATATAAGACATTTTTGTTTTGTTAGTTAGGGTAATACCTAGGGTAATATGAGAGACCAAATTTTATGTTTTTAAAATATCTTCTAAATACAGATATGATAAATTGTATAATTGTTTGTTTCCTTTTATTTTACTAATTTTTTTATAGGGATGAAAATTGTTCAGTAAAAAACCGATATTATTACTTACAGTAAATCTTCTGCACCATACTGACAACCATCGGATGTCTTTTAATCTTTTTCCCATAGGAAGTCTCAGGATAATGTCAGAATTGTTGTGTTCTCCAAGAACTGGGGGTTCCCTACAAAAAAGATATAATATTTCAATTCCTTGTTTTGCAAAGATCTATATCTTATTGTAATAAACATATCAATCATTTTCTATACGTTCAGCTACAAATTATTGTACAATCTAAAAAGAGATATTATCAAAAAGCGTAATAATAATTTCACACGTTATTGATTAACACCTCAAATAAACGTATTTTAGATTAGTTTTAAACTTAGATTGTTATAATGCAATATCAAAAAGGAAATGCGTTTTTCTGATGTTACTTTCCAGAAGACATGGATTCCTCTATTAAAAAATGAATAATTAATCAAAAGCCATGTCATTGTTGGCTCGATTCTGTTTTCTTCGATAGAGAGTCATTTTAGAACGCTAATGGAGAGCCAAAAGTCGACGTAAATGCCAATAAAACATCATTAATTTTTCCAGTCTTTCGCTTTTTATTCATTTTTATTGCTTTGGTTTCCCCCGACGTTGTGTAACAAAGTCGATATTACGCTATTGTTATCAACTGATCAATTTGTATCTTCCATAGGAATCTCATTACTGGTTGTTTTTCCAAAATTCTGTTTCGTTACCAAAAGAAATGAAAATATGTAATTACTCTTAAGATCGAAACAATTTAGGACCAAAAGGATTTCATTGTGATAATCTACAACCGACGTTTCGCCTTACCTGAAGGCGAAACATCGTTTATTGATTGATGGAATGAAAATACTATTTATGCTGAGTTTCCTAAATCTGGAGATATCTAAAAATGAAGTGGTTTGTTTTAGAAAAGGTAATTTGGGATTATTGGTATCCTTTTTACTAGATGTACTGCTCTAAAACCGTTATTAATGAAAGTGCATTCTTGATCTTACGTTTTTAAGATGATCGACACTAACCCGGCAATACGGAACCCAATTTTGTGCAAACCACATCAAAACCTTTTTCTGTTTATCAGCATGTATTTGTCTTGGCATAATTCCTTCAATTCTGTTTTCTCCTATAAAGGACGCTAATGGAGAGCCAAAAGTCGCCGTAAACTCCAATAAAACGTCATTAATTTTTCCAGTCTTTCGCTTTTTATCCGTTTTCATTGCTTTGGCTTTCCCTCCCCTCGTTCGTCCTTGTATAACAGAGTCGATATTACGCTATCATCAACTGATCAAGGGATTGTCACGATTTCCTTCAACCCTCTTCGTCCCGTCCACGAGTGAACGGAGTTGTGCCGCGCCGTGGAGTGGGGTTGGATTGCCGCGATTCGATTTTGTTCGTTCGAAGGATTTGCAACTGCATTCAGAGGGATATAGCGGGAATTTCAATGATCCCCGTACAATTCGAATAAAACGGTTGCAGATCGCGAAAGGATTTCTTCTTCGCCCACTCTACGTTGATGGGGAAGAACTGTGAATAGGAGGCATTACGGCTAAGCAGTCTCCTGTTTGTTATTTGAAAACTACGGTTTTTGGGGTTCTCGTCGAATACTCATGAATTAGAAACGTAGAATAAAAAGGAGAATGTCATCATCATAAGGGCATCAGTCCTAAGACTGGTTGGACACGTACCTCCACTCTTTCCTATCCTGAGCTAAACTTCGCATTTCCCTAAAACTAGAACAACCCACATCCTTAACTATTTCCGAACAGTAATCTAACCTAGGTCTACCTCTACCCCTCCTAACTCCTGTTTCTGCCTCTAATATGTCTCTGACTAGACCTTCATGCCTGAGAAGGTGTCCTACCAACCTATTCTATTCATTTCTTACCTTTTCTACGCACGATATCCTCATCATCCGCCTATAACACCACATTTCGAACGCTTCTAACCTTTTCTTTTCCGCCACTCCCACTGTCCATGTTTCGCACCCGTACAACGCCGTGCTCCAAACACACCTTTAACAACCTTTTTCGAATTTCTAAATTAACCGTTCGCGAGCATAGAAGTGACTTCTTTTTATTAAAGGCGACACGATCCTGCGCTATCCTCTGCTTTATATCCCTACTACTCCTTCCATCCTCACTTATCTGACTTCCTAGATATCTAAAATCAGCCACTTCTTCTAATTTTTCGTCTCCTATCTTTTTATTCGTTCTTTCCCTACTTTTTCTTCCCTTGCATATCAGTATTTTAGTTTTACTTTTATTTATTTTCATACAGTACTGATCAGTCAGAACCACTTCCATTTTATTTAAAGCTGTCTCTAGGTCCTCCTTGCTAGATGCTAATACTGCTATAAGGATAATGTAACTGATAATAATTGAAACTGAGCGTAATAATCGAAGCTGTTAGAGAATTCTCTTCAAAGTTTACCATATTATGGAACATTAATTATTACTGAGTAGAAAAGAAATCTAGAGAATTGTTAGTTTGGTCTCTACACAAAAGTAAATGAACAATAATATAAAGAAATATATGTGAATATATATGAATCCTCGTCAGTAGGTATTAACTTGTAATATTGAAAAAGTTACTGGCTGTAGTCCAGGGTCGTAGCCGAGTGTGTGCCTGAGCCTGCTGCAAAGCCGTCAGCCTGAACTTGTTAGGGATTTAGATTCCTACGTATATAATTTCTGACTTATACTTTCCTTATGTTGACAAGAATTATCCATCCACAACGACTATCATCGAATGCCAAATTTGACCCTTGTTAATCAGAAAAAGAACCGACGATTACAACTTTTCTAATCTTTTTGTATGTACAATTAAATACTAATTAATAAAAGAACTCAATATTTTGAGTTTTTGAACGATTTTGTTCGTACAGAAAGGATCAAATCGAATTACTAAGTATTTTACTGTACTCATATTTATGTAACAAGTACTACCAACAAAATTAACGAAAGTATTACGAAGTATGTACAAATATACCTATTAACGGGGAAAAATTCTGGATTTATTTTGAGCCTGTCCTATTTATACAGTCTGTTTATGACCCTGGTATATAGCTTATATAGCTACTTAACTTACTATCTTTTTGGTTATGTTTTGGAAAAAATTATAGGCATGTATGCGAATATAAATATCTTTTTGAGATAAGAATATCTTTTGGAGGTATAAACCCTTTAAAAAAAACAGTTAATAACGAAATGTTTACAGAAACATAGGTAATTAGAATAAAACCGCTAAACAAATTATTGTAGATAAGATTAGCTTTTCTAAATTTTAATGGGTTCTTGTGGTTCCTAAAAGGAATAGTTGAAGTCTATCTATTAGTTTGCAACAGTCACTCTTGCCAGAAACTTTACAATTTTACGTTGCAATTGGTAAGTAATACTGACCAACATATTTTTCGAATAGTTAACAGCCAAAATAATTTAATGGAAATTTTATAAGTTACAGGCTGTACCACCAGATATTTTCTTTTTATTTTTCTGGGAACTGCGACATATACTTTATAAGGTACAAGAAATTCAAACGCTTTAATTTTAAGGAAGGATATTTTCACATATGTTTAAATCATAGAAATGTCACAAGTCAAAAGCTTTCTTGAACTGGAATCTAAAATTGCAGATGTTGTAGCTTTCGAGAAATCCTAATTCGTAATATCATTTTTGTTAGACTTGTTGTTATTCTCACAGAACGTATAACGGAGGAATTTGAATAAAAATTTCTAAATAAGGATGCAATAATATGATAAAAATTTAAAAACGTTAATATGAATCCTTATATGAACGGTATGGATTTCGAGGAGCAATTAAACGATAGATATAGCAGATAAAATTGAACAATTACTTTTGGTACCCTGACAAAGAAAATAGAGAATTCCAGTCTCATAGACTGTATAGTAATCAAATAAATGAAAACTTTTACTTCTAAGTCAATTGAGTTAAGTCTCAAAGTTTCAAAAAAATTAAGAATCGTGTTTTTTCGCAAAAATAGCAAGTGACAATGGCTCATTCAAAAAATGAACACTTTTTTCTCAACTTCGTTAAAAAAGACTCGACTAATGACTGCAGTTAAGTCTACTTTTAAATCTATATGTTTATACGGACAGGACCTTATCCAAATGAACTTAATGATAATAGTTGTATCCGCTTAATAATTCGTCGATTTAAAAGGAGGGTGGTTGGGCACCCCATCATCACGGCCGATAGAGACCAGTTGGGAGGGTGGCAGTGCGACTGACGACAGGGGATGTTACAGTGTATTTAATCAGTGCGAAAAGGGAAGATGAATAACTCAGATAGCGAACATTTACATTTAAATAGGCGAATGGTTTGCCGGTAATACAGCGTCCTGTTTACGAAATCATTTCCTTTACGGAACGAAATTCTGTCGTTATGATTAACATGATCCGTTTGAAGGGTAATTTGGGAAGCGTGGGACGGGCAGGGAACATAATATGATCCTTGCTCGAACACAGCTCACGTCTGTATATTTTGCATTTATAATGATAGGGACATTTAATATTCGGAGTGTAATCTTTCAGCTTCCCGAACTACATACACAAACTAACTTGAATCCATAATTCCACATAAAAACATTTAAAGAACCTAAAACGTCTTTCGGCACCTAAGGTATCACATCGTATGTTTCTCTGTTCAATTTTGAGTGCATTTAAGCAGAATTCCTTTGGATTGGAAGAGGATTGTTAAAGGTGTATGTTTGGAACGGGTGCGAAACATGGGCATTGGACGCGGCGGAAAAGAAAAGGTTAGGAGCCTTCAAAATGTGGTGTTACAGGCGAATGATAAGGATATCGTGGATATAGAAGGTTAAAAAATTAAAAGGTTTTACAGGGATTGGAGAACAGAGGACTCTATGGAAGTCAATAAGAAATAGGCGGGATAGGTTGGTAGGACACATTCTCAGGCATGAAGGTCTAGCCAGAGACATGAAGAGGTATTGGAAAGGATAGGAGAATAGAGGACAACGGAATTCAATAAAAAATAGGCGAGATAGGTTGGTAGGACAGGCATGATAGAGGCAGAAACAGGAGTTAGGAGGAGTAGAGGTAGACCTACGTTAGATTACTGTTCACAAATAGTTAAGAATGTGAGCTGTTCTAGTTTTAGGGAAATGCAAAGATTAGCTGAGGATAGGAAAGAGTGGAGGTGCATGTCCAACCAGTCTTAGGACTGACGACCTTATGATGATGAGTACCTACAATTTACATTATCTGAAAGGAACCCTGAAGCTATTCCAGAATTTCCGCTCTGCCAAGTCCGTGTCGTCCAGTTATGAAATAATTTTGGTGACAGTGGCTAGCTCATCAATCATATCACATCTAATCATAATCTGCCCCTCTTTGCTCCTGTTTCTGCCTCTAATACGTCTATAACTAACCTTTTTTCCTATTTTTCTATTGCTTCCTCATTCCCAGCCTTTTCATCATCAACATATTAAATGCTTCACTGTCCATGTTTCTTGCGTACAAATAGAATTTTAGCTCATCTATTGTGTCCATGTTTTAAACAGGTAAGTATAGTAGTTTCGACACGAATATGAGAACGTAAGCGTGAAGTGTTTAAGAGACTTTATGTCAATACTGTACACATACAGTAGAACTACTACTAAAGGGAGAGCGAGCTACATAAGTTTTTAAACCTAGCGAAGCGTTTGAAAGTAAATAGGAAAAAAACAGGACGGGACGGAAAAGGTTTTTCTCTTCGTTTTGCGTTGTGGTGCTGGTTGGAAAGCAAGGAAAATAATATATGTACGCTTCAACCCCAGCGATTTCAAATGGGGAATCGTACTTTACAAATGTTCGGTTTTGTATCCGTGGCAACCAAGTAATCGGCTTACGCCGTTTGGCAAGATAACTCCAAGCTATTTAATGAAAGCGAGACGGTATTAAAATCATAACCGTAAAGGATGAGATGAGAGAAATAAATCCCAAAGAGCCAACACAGTCCACTAAATACTTTACATAGCACACGACATATATTTTTTACGTTCGTCTTAATTCGGAGTTGTCCTCTTTGTAACATTATTTTACAAGCGAGATGTCGGAATGATTTTCTGCATAAAAATTTCACTGACAATAAGCGACGAGGCTTTTCACAGTTTATACATACATTTCAATAAAAAATATTAATAATTGCTATAAAATTAAAATAAAAAGAGCGCCCGCAACATGATAGGTATTAAAATACGTTTAGAGTGCTTAATCAACAAAAAATAAAAATAAAAGTTTTATAAGTAAATAAAGGTAGGACAGACAGACGTGACGATATTATAAGAATTATGTTTCTTGACATTTGGCCACGAAACTCTAAAAATTAATCCTTCCAATCCTTCGAAAACACTTTTTTACTCATTTTGTTTTATACCGATTTCTGTTGTTTGTATTTCTTTTGACTCTGAAAAAGCTTGCTGTAAGATTTTACTGCTTTATTAACTTTTAACTTTAAAAAAACACCGTGCTTCAGTAAGTGTATACATCACATAGCAATTAACAATTTATAATTTAAATCTTAGTAGTAAATATAAACTTGAAGCATTAGTAGTTGTTATTCTTTAATAAAAAGAGAAAGTTTTCATTTTTCTAAGCATTTAATATCGTTGGTACAATGAGAATTCCGCTGACGATAGTCATCCCTCACTAATTTAAAAAGAAAAAGGAAATTCGAGAAAAACTGCAAAAATGCGGTACTTTTACTACCAAGACGGTAATACATGGTTGTCCTTACATAATAGCTATAAAACTTATGTTTGTAAGTAGAACTGCACATACTCTTGCCTTTCCTGAACTATTACGCGTATAGCTAAACTTATCATGTTTAGTTTACATAAATTCTTTATAAAATTACATTTTTTAAGAGATAATTGTAGTTTTTTATTTTTTTATTAATCTTATATGCGAAGATTAGAATAGGAAAGAACGGAGGTGCGTGTCCACCCTGTGATAATAATGATGGTGATGATTATGATTTGCAATGTCATAATATCTACCATTATTAACAATATTGCCACCTAAGTAGTTATCAACTCTACCATTAAACTCATTTACTAATTGTAAGATTATTATTAGTCAAATTATTATTTTAGGCCTTTGATGTACTTTAGATTCACCTTTGATATTCGCATATCAGACAAAGGGTTTTTTTTCAATAAAGCTTGAAGTCAATGTTAAAATTTTAAATTACTGCTATCAAGGATCAAACATTAATAATTCGGAGTCGCAAGCAACATTAATGCCACTGGATGGTTTAATATAACTTTTACTCAATGAGTACACAGTGCACATTTGATATTTTCAGTCGGTCCATCAAAGTTTCAATCGACCGCCCACTCGCTTTCCTCCTACATACCTAATTGAAAGCAGACAGCGTGGATGCAAATAAATGGGGGGTTAAAACGAAACCCGATAGAGCGAGTTTCTAATTGTTATTAAGTCAAATTCTACATTGCACAAGTTTATTTAGGTACCACCATGGTCAGTGACGGTTCGTGATGAAATGAAGTGGGCCTTATTGCAAAAAGTATTTATTCACTTAATGTATTTTATAAGTTAGTTCTATCTTACAATTAGAAGCAAACTTGTCTACAATCTTCTCGTTGAAGTTATCAATTTTTAATATAAATATTTTTTAAATAAAAATACACGAAAACAGACCAATACAGCTCACTGATACGCCCAAATTCGTGACTGAAGAAAGTAAACCCAGTGGAAACGCTTGGATTTTCGAAGCAGCGCTCAGAGCTGCTTCTTACGACCCACCTCAAGGATGTTAAAGGACCAGAAGAGGACCCTAATTGGCCCTAGAACGGCTTGAGGTAGAGGGGTTTTAGTCGATAGGTCTGAAGATATTTTATTCGGAAATCCGACACTACCTAGTCTTACGGACGGCTGGGTGTCTTTTGAAGATTTACCCCTTTTCCACAAAAAAAAAAATGGATCAGAGAGACTAAGCGGTATGTCCTAGAAATTTACATCATTGCTCAGCAATGAGGAGGGCACCGATTTGATTCCAGGTCCGTCTGCTCTGATCCAAGTTTTTCTGTGATTTCCTTGGATCACTTAAGCAAGCACGTCAGCGTAGGGTATAGTGTAGATTCACCTTTGACACTTTGAAGTAATCACACGATAAACCAAATAAAATTGACAAGTAATATCGATTATCAAGCAATATTTTGTAGAACAATTAAACTTTCTAAGAGACAAAATGAATCATCATTGACTATGAAATTCTAATCCAATTCTAACAATTTAAAGAACATGAAACAATAAAAGGGTGAAATTAAGAATAATGAAAAAGGAGTGGAACAGAAAAAAGTACGTCAATAATAGTAACAAATACAAAATAATGGAACTACAAGAAAGACAAGATACGATTCTGGAGTTAACCCTGCTACCAATAATGTTAGTTACAAACGAAAGGTAGTAAAAGGAGAAAAGTTCGAAAACAATTCACTCGAACTTGCTAGAACTCCCACACAACAGGAAACTTTCTTACGTGGGTGTTAAGAAAGATCCACGAGCTATAAATAAAAAAGTAGACAATTGGGAAAAGCTGCTGCAATTGGTTGTAAAGAAGCTTGAAGTCAATGTCAATCCCCGTCAAAAAGTAGGTATAGGTACTGCATTCTTTTCAAATCCCTTATGCAATTTAAGTAGTTCAAATAAAATGGTATTACAAATTTGAATGAAAACCGTAAAAAATTTTTATAATTACAATAAAGATACTATTTACAAAATGTTACTTCATTTAAATTACTGAGGTTGACACTGCAGAGGGTGCTTTTATAAGAATGCATGTCAATTTGTTTATATTTATCTTGAACTACCATATTATTATATTTTTCAAGATAATAACAAGGTTTTATCGAAATCTTTCTATGATGTCAACCTTCTTAAAGCGAGCTGTCTACATTCAAAGTTGTTAGTTCCTTGGGTTGGTCCTGAGGTGAAATTTACAATATCGTTTTGTCTCTTTTAAGGGCGGACTAAGGCCTAGGCAACCTAGGCACGTGTCTGGGGCCCGTAATTATTGGAGCCCGAAAATGAAATTTTTTAATTTTTGTAATTAATTTTTATTTTATTTTCTGAAAAATAGGCCCGGAATTACAATGTTCCCTAGGGCCCGCATTTGCCTTAGTCCGCCACTGGTCTCTTTTATTATGCACTACCTGATGCTTTCCACTTCGTTTACAATTAATGTTACTTTTATTTCGTGTATTCACATAAATTAAACCTCACTAATTGTAAGAAAAATGAGAACTTATTTCAAACTGTTTAAGCTCCTTTTTATCTATGTGTAGTTAACCAGTGATTTCTGCAAATGCATAATTTAAATTACCTTCCGCTGTAATCCTCTGGATAAGGTACTATGTAGCCATCAGGACTAGGTCTCGGAGAGTTTCCAATCCAGAAGAAAGCATCTGGGCCAGTTCCATCATAAGAAAAACCCTTAATAAATATCGTGCTTTCATCTACAGCATACACGATCCCTTTGATCCCATGAGCGAACTGCTGCAATTTTCCAATCTCACGACCGTAATACGGTTCAGGCTTTTTACCACACAAACCTACAAATAAGAAAAACTTCTGTCAACGTCTTTAACCAATACTGAATTTAGCAAATTCATTTATATATATAATATGATGTTTGCCTTTTAGCAATAATGTTGATCATGTTACGAAATAAACTATTACCTGTTTATTGCCATTAGAAAAGGGAACGTAACAAATAGTTAATAGCTTAAGGGAGTATTTTCAAATAGGAACTGTTAAAGGTTATTAGAAACAGTTTGAGTTAGACAAATAGAAAAAATATATAATTATGAATATCGAATTTGTAATTAGGAATATAATAGATAATTTGAGAACACAAAAGCAGTCAAGGAAACAAATCGACAAACACAGGGTAGATACGTAAAGGAACTAGACATTAAAATAAATTAGTACTGTTCGTTTCAAGAAGTTAGAGATATGCCCTTTCCCTTTATTAGGATGCGCCGTAGCATAATTCCAAATTCGATCATATTTGTCTGCGGAGCTCATTTCTCCACCGATCATCGAGCGAGAACTAGACGAAAGTGTACAGTACCATTTGCAAAATTATTTAAACTGCCTTCTTAAAATTTAAGAATATGCTTTATTTAAAAGCATATTTAGCCAAAAATAGTAACAAGTGAATTAACTTAACGCTCTACACACCTATAAAACTTTTGCTTTGTTGTTTTCTATTGTTAATTTATATACATTTTTGTTTTAAGAAATTGCTAAACAGTTTCGTCTAGCACTGTACAGTTCTAGCCGATCTCCTAAGACCACCCATCGAGAGGTCTGCTCGTTCAAGCTCGTTTCAATTATTTCTGTCTTGCTCACGCCTAGTGTGTATTCTTTCTATCTTCGCGCAGATTTCTTCAAGGTCACAATTCTAACAAATTGAAATGGGCTGTACTAAGGTATTTCAATAGGTAAAATTAAGTGAGTAGCAACTAGTGAAGTTAGAAACGTCGTGTCTAGAGCTGCGATTCATAATGTGGGTTCCGTGGAAAAGTAATCAAGGTTCCGCTAATCAGTTACATTTGAATTATTTTGGATTTTGGATCAACACTGTTACAAAACCTTTTGGTTGAGGAATCGCACAAAAATGTAGTAAGAAAAACTCCTTTACTTGAGTGCAGAATTCGACCCCAACACATAGAGCACGAGTGCAACGGGGTGCAGCGTCTTTCTTTTGTTAGTTAGCCAACATTTAATGCAGGTTTCCGTACTATAAAAAGGATTTAGTATGTGTCTCGAAGCTTTAAATGTATATGAACTAATGGCTTGGAGGTACGGTAGAGTAAAAAACCTTTATTAGATAAAACATGGCAGTTTAATTTCAAAATACCGAAAACCTGAACACATCATTTTATATCTTCCTCCTCTCAGTTCGAAATGTTAATGACAGGCTTTAAATGCAGTCTCCTATCGCGAAAAAGCATCGTTATTACTATTATCGTCGTGTTCATCGTTAGTGGCGTTGCTAACAACGGCAATACGTACGACGGTATAGAACGTATATATATATATATATATGCATGTATATATTCCATCCATAATCATCGACAACCCTCCTCCCCATTTCTTTCCCGCGGCACCCTAAAAAGCTAAAAGCTCCTGTCTGGTTCTATTTGACCGCTCGTCTCTTGGGGTGTCCATTAAGTCCCTTATTAGACGTGATTCGTCATTGAGAAGAGAACGCATAAAAAGTAGTCAACCAGGAAAATCTGATAATGCTTTCTATAACATCTTTTTCCAGCAAAACTGATTTAGAATGTCAATAACAATAAGTAGTTAGTACATTAGTAAAGTAGAAATGTATGACTTGATAATTTAAAACCGTTCTATACGAAAACAAAGCTAGGATTCTCCCTTGAACTTTCTCAATTTACTATACTCACAAAGAACACAAAAACATATATGAATTACATTTATTAATAATGAATGTTCAAAGTTCCTTATTCGAACTGTCAAATACGTGCACTAAAATATTACATATTAAATAAGTTAGAAGTTGTGCTTCGAAAGGTCATCGCAGAAACGCTTTCTGAGATGCTTTCATAAGTTTCTTCGGCTTAAAAATGGAGAGAATAAATATAGAATGAAACTGAGAAAGTCATTAAAGTTAACTTCTTTCGAAAAAGATACAAAATCTTCCTGAAAATCTGTCTATAACAAGTAGATGAATGTAGGATGGAAATATGCAGAAGATTTATTGTTCGATCCTTTTTGTCCAGGTCTATGTTTGATGTTGCTGCTTACAAACTCAAAGTAATACTCAATTTTAAGTGTTTTGTTTTCCATTTTATTAAGAAGACAAAACGCTACATTGTTTAAAGAAAAATAAAAGAATGTTAGTTTGTTCGTTTCGATATATGTATATAGATAAGTATCAGAAAACTGCTGGACCGATTCTGGAAATCCTTTTATTAAAAATGGAGCTGTACTACTCCAGATAAACTTAAGTGTTTGCTTGGTTATAAAAAGGTAGGATTTTGTTAGAAACTTGTAAATCAAGTCGAAGAAAAATGAACCACTTGCGACCATCAATTTACAAATAACCAACAAAAGTTTCGGAAAAAAAACGAATTTTCCAAACAACTGGAAAATAAAGCGATGAAAACTGCTGAATATTGCGATTATTTGGTTCATATTTTTCACAAAAATCCATAAAGAACCAATCAATCAGAACTTGAATAGACATAAAATTCCTTCGTTTGAAGTAGGTTCATCTTAGGTACTTGAAAAGTTCTCCAACTTCGACGAGACGACAGGACGATTTTATTTACTCAGTTAATCGTAATCGAACTTCGGTGACCAATCTGTGAAAATGTGAAAACCAATAACTTTCCCGTGGTTCAGATTTAATAACTTTTCTTCGGTTTAATGTTACTTGAATGAACTCGAAATAAACTGTCTCATCGTCGCGCCGGCGGTCACCCGCTCGCCGTCTCCAGCGGTGGAAATATCGAGGGTGGCACAGCAATGAGGCGGAAGACAAATGAATACGTCATGCGATCGATGCGTCATCTATTGTGCGGAATCCCTCGCGGCATATTCAAAGCTCGTTTGCTACGCTGCTGTTTGCACTTATAAGATCCAGTGGCGTTACATCTATTGATAAAATAAATTGCAATTCTATTGTAAACAATTTTACGCGTTTACAACTTCTAAAAAGCTCCAAATCCTGAAAATCTAATTGGTTCGAACCTTGTCCAAAAATTGATAAAATTTTTAATATTTTCGCTGATAATTGACTCAATTTAATTTATTAGGGGTTTACCAATGTCCCCTTTACCACCCCAGTGCTATGGCATCATAAAATTAGTAACTATTTTTGAATAAGAAAGGATTTGACTACGAACGAAGTGGGTACATTCTTTTACCTATAGGATTGAACAACACCTAATCTTACTCAAGCCTAACCCAACCTAAAGCACAGCAACTCCAACCGATGACGGTCGTTAGACCCAAATCAGAACAACATCAGTTCACCTATTGGTCGCGAAAACCTTTACTAATTTATCAACCTAAAGCAACTGAAATGCAGACAAGAATCGTCACAATACTGATAGGTATTAGTAGCTTCAGTTTAAACTCAGAATTTCGATTTTAGATATTTTGAATTTACAAGTCGCAATTTTTTAGTTACAAGCCTATATTTCAAGTTTCAGGTCGAAACTTCAAAAAAAAATATGTTTAGCTCTTCTAACGTTTCTTATGCTTAGATCTTTAAAACTACGTAATGGATTTTAATTCGATTTTTTTGTAATAGATAGAGTAATTCAAGAGGAAGGTTTATAGGTACAATACATGAATAATATAGTAGAGAAACACTGATAATTTTAGAGGTTTGTAATGTGATGTCGTAAATAAATACATTTTTTTGCGCTTACATTGCAAACGCTGTCTGAACCCTACGAGATAGATCAAAATAATATACTACAGTATTGTACACCTTAAAAAGGTCTACAAAAAAGTCCGGGATGGTATATGTCTATCTCTTAGGGATAACTCACAATAACCGTTTTTTATCCTTTACTTTTTACGAGAAATAATGCCTTATTTACGAAGCGATTTTAAGCAATACAGCATTAATCCTTATCCAATTAAGTACTTTTAATTGCGTTCTGCATTTAATATAGATCGGTACCGGCCGGTTGTATTGTCTAATGACAAAAAAGCTGTGATTGTTGCATATAAAGACATTCTATAGTATATTTACTATCAGCATTGCACCCCTGCGAAGCATAGTGTACAAATAATACCATTAAACCAATTCCTTAACCCCTATCTCGGTATGTATGTGTCTGAAGAAGTTTCACTTCAGTAGCGTGTTGTATAATTACACGTTGTATTTTTTTTTATGCTCTAATTTTTAGCAGTTACCTATCAGGATTTAAAAAAAACACGCTAAAATAATTTTTTTCTTTCTTAACTTGCAATGTCGTCGTAGTAAAAGTCTAACGATAACGATCATGTACCTACACAGTTTTGTAATATCCTTTAGCGGTAATTTATTGCGTCCGCTATTAAGACACAGAAGGCGAAAGCAACAATTGTTTTAGATCCCCATAGTGCAGTAACGACCTAACCAGCGTAACTGAATCAATTTGCCAATGGCATAAGGCATTATTGCCGACACCCCCGAGAACATGGCAATAAAAATCCATCTAATATATTGAGTTTTAGAGGGTTGTTCTTTCCCTATCTCGCGTCGCTCACGGTACTGTGCGATATCGTATTCGACCACAGAAGGATTATCAATATTACTGCCAAACAGAAAACTATAACTTGCTGTTATCATACACATATAACTACAAAACGATCGTTTCGATTTTCTAGAAATTGTATGTCATATTAACGCTATAAAGTTTCACTCGGTAAATATACAGGTACATTGTAGTGCTTCGATATTGCATTACTACTTTAATGTTTAAGGTCTGATTTAACACAACATTTGTTACGTTCTTTTAGTGATTTTAGTTTTTATTGCAACTTTTAAGTGTGAATTTGTTATCATCTATAAATATTT